GAGGACCACCAAAGACCACCAGAGAGCACCAGAGGACCATCAGAGGACCACCAGAGGCCACCAGAGGACCACCAGAGGACCATCAGAGACCACCAGAGGACCATCAGAGGACCATCAGAGACCACCAGAGGACCATCAGAGGACCACCAGAGGACCATCAGAGGACCACCAAAGACCACCAGAGAGCACCAGAGGACCATCAGAGGACCACCAGAGGCCACCAGAGGACCACCAGAGGACCATCAGAGACCACCAGAGGACCACCAGAGAACCACCAGCGGACCACCAGAGGACCATCAGAGGACCACCAGAGGACCACCAGAGGACCACCAGAGGACCACCAGAGACCACCAGAGGACCACCAGAGGACCATCAGAGACTACCAGAGAGCACCAGAGGACCATCAGAGGACCACCAGAGGACCATCAGAGACCACCAGAGGACCACCAGAGGACCATCAGAGGACCATCAGAGGACCATCAGAGGACCACCAGAGGACCACCAGAGGACCATCAGAGGACCACCAGAGACCACCAGAGGACCATCAGTGGACCATCAGGACATTAACAGAGCTGCAGTAACCTGAGAAGGTGTCACATTTTCAGTCTAACAGAACCTAACCTCAGGTCCTTGATTACCTTCTGGACGTTTCATGGCTGCGTCCACATCTGATCCAACACGRGACATGATTGGACAGAAGACAATGATGATGTCACACTCATCCAGAGAGGTTTCTGTCAGCTKCAGTGATGTCCATGTGTTCAGATTGTTCATGATGCAGTCATCAGCACCAAACGACTGAATAGTAACGACACGATGGACCTTCACTGATGAAAGAGAGGGACTGGAAAGGTATTTTTTCCAGTTCCAAAAGGATGATTTTTGGTCCTTTGCTGAGGAAGATGAAAGTTAAAGACAAAAATTTATTATAATTTGCAATAGTTTAACTTTTACACTTTTAAAAAGACAAAAAGTTGTTGATGAAATAACTCACAGGTCTTATTCTGATGTTCAGGTTTCTGATCTGGTCTTTGTTTCTTTCCTGAWGAAAAACATTAATTTATTCAGAGAAGATTTAGATGACCCTGCTGTTTTACAGTAAGATGTTTAAAATGTTTTATATAACTGTAGTTAAATCTAAAAGTTATCATGAAACAACCTTTAACTCCTGTTTGATGACAGGAGTTATTGGTTTGTGTCTGGTCTGGTCTGGTCTGGTCTGGTCTGGTCTGGTTTCAGACCCAGAGACTGGAGTTTTCATCAGTTTGTTCTGAGCTGCAGCACTTAGTTACCTGCTGACTGTGTCCACCTGTTGCTCACTGACATCCAGGTAACAAGTCCAGTTTAATGAGTCCTGATGTCTGACCAGGTCTGTGCTCCTGATCTCAGACCCGAACCTTTACATCTGAATAAACTCTGTTTTCAAATTTGGGTGAAGAAACACAGAAACTAGTCATAGCCATACCAGTCATACCTGTGTGTCCTGATCCACAATCCTGTCCCCCGTCTTCAGGACCTGATGAAGACCAGACAGAACTTGTGTCAGAAGGTGACTGTGTGTAATCAGCTGATGGTCCTGCTGGACTTACCTGATCCTTCTGGAACACAGGAGTCTGTTGTAGTCTTCAGTGACAGATCAACACAGATTTCATTCTGACCAGTTAGTTTGATCACTGGGTCCAGTTCAGCTTCACAGTATGGACACACCACAGGAAGACTCTGACCCTGTGGAGCCTGCAGAGTCCAAGACCAAATGTTAGAAACAGTTTTCTTCCTGCTGCACAGAGCTGAAGGACTGAACAGAAAGACTCCYAACAAGTAATCCTTCCTTTCACTTCTATTGATCAGGTCAATCATGCTGATGTCATAATGTCTGTAGACAAACCCAAACACACAGTTATTAAAAATCTAAACTTTAGTCARAAAACAAAGGCAGCAAACAAACTTAGAGATAAAACCCACCAAAGCTCAGGAGAGATGAAGGAACAATCTGAGAACAAAAGCTAAAGTAAACCTGTAAAGGTTCAAACTAACGTTCTAACCATGTGACAGGTCAGATACAGATAAGTAGGTCCTCTGGACGGGTTCTTCTTTAATGGAACGGTTCAGAGGACCTACTTCTTTTTCTTTTCATTTTTCTACCTGGATTACTGAGCTGCRTCAGGACAYGGTCAAATACAGAGCACAAATCTTTTATGAGAACATGACAAATAAAGTACATTCCTTTATTTAATTAGAGATTTTCTTCCATATCACTCTGCAAACAGGTTCTCACATTCCATGGTTGTATTCCAGCTGTGTGAGGTCCTGGTCTCAAGCTACATCTGACTTCTGAATGAATACCGGACCAAGACAAAAGTTTAAAATGTTTATTGTAATCTGAGACATTGTTCTGGACTGTCAGGATATGAAACGAGACACGGGAGCTTCYTGTCAGTGAAAACTCTCCTTTAGTTATCGCTGCAGCACATGATGCAAAATGAATGTTTCTTCAACGAACCAGTCTAACATTGTGCTAGTTTCTTGGTGCCCCCCAGTGGTCATTTAACTAAACTACCAGAACTCTAGAGATACAGTATACTGTATTAGAGAAACCGATCTCACATCTCCTCCTTTTAATAATAATAATAATAATAATAATAATAATAACTTTATTTCCATAGCACATTTTTAAACAAATGTTACGAAGTGCTTTACATTAAAAACCAATTTCAACATCATAAAAGACAGCATAAAACAAAATATAACAAATCAATTAAAATAAAACCAAATTAAAATCTACAAATCATAAAAATTATATAAATAAAAAATATATCAAATATTAAAAGCATTATTATAAAATAAGCCTTAACTAAAGATCTAAAAGAGAATAATGTGTAATATTTAGTAGAAGAGCRTTCCACAAACTGGGAGCCCTAACCATAAAAGCCATCTCTCCTTCTGTCACCAGCCCAGCTCTGGGAATGGAAAGGAGTGATTGATTAAATGATCTGAGAGTATGTATGTATGTATGTATATATATGGGTTTATTGGCCAAGTATGTTTACACACACAAGGAATTTACAGTTTAGAACACCCATCCAGAGAAACACACACACGTGACAAACATGGGGGAACGAATATACAGGGTCCTTCACAACAACGTTTGCTACCTTTGCAGTTTAGAATACACACACATAGGAAGGATGAGTTCAAAAAAGAGCTTTGATCCTGTGGTTTATACAGAAAAACACACGAGCATGCACACAAAAAACTACTGTGCAATAGAGGAGCAGCTAAGAGGGAGAGGGGGAAACAAATCATATGGAAGTGGGAAGGGGTGCAGAGGAGCCGGTGAGATCCAAGGCAGAGTGCCAGGCCCAATCAGAGACCTTCAGAGTCCAACCAGCTGTTATCAGTCAAGCGCAGTTCACCAGAGTTCAGTCTCTGTTTCCACCCAGCGCAGCCTTCAGACCGGGTTCCAGACACAGGTGGGGGTTGGGGGTGGGATCAAGGCTTCCTCCACACCATATCATCCCAGAGAGGTTTATCAGACTGTGACTAAGGTCACATCTGTGGGGATCCAATGATAGGAATAATTCTTTAGAGCAAACAGCAGACTTTTCTTTCCACCGCTTTAAAGTCTTAACTGAGCTTCTGTGTTGTGAAAATGCCAATATTCCAGATTCATTACCATCTCGCCTCTTTCGTATGAACTAAGATGTTGCCTTACTCCTCATGCTGCTGGGCTGTGGTCCTGGCCAGAACCACATCCAGTTTGTGATTCAACTCCCCCATCATTGGAGTCTGTGCGTTCACCGTACGAGAGATCCATCCAGGGACACAGACAGCTTCTCACAGGCCTGGACTGCTGTCAGGGTCGTTCTCATTTTCCGATAAACCAGAACTCCTCCACAGCCGATCAGCAGGAATCCGATTATCATAAATCCAGATATTAAAACATCTTCGATGTCTTCAATGGAAAGAGGTGCCAGGCAGATCAGATACCCACCCCAACCTGACACGCACGGCCACCATGGTTCCACCGGGACAGCTGTGCTCCCCATGCTCTAATCTCAGAGTGGGAAAAATGGTATCAATTGCATTCAGAGACCAGTTGACCAGATCCATAGTTCTTTTATTGTCGAAGGATAGGTAGAGGAAAGGCCTGATCCGGCAGCGAGCAGGGAAAAGAGGGAGGTTCAGGAAAGAGAGCAAAAAGTGTCCGAGTCCTCTGAAGACCGAGCATACACACACACACACACACACACACACACACACACA